CAGAAACGCATAAATGTTTTGAAAAAAAAACTAGTTCGTGGGGAGTAAAATATGGTTTAATGGTTTGAAATAATATTTTCCTTTTCGCAGTACAACAAAATTGCATGCATTTTTAATATTTTCCTTTTGAAAAGTTTTGATAAAAGTTTTAAAGAGCTTACAAATATAATATTTGTAATTTAATTATTTCAAAACCGTTACCTGTTTATGTTTTAAGCCATTCGTCGGTTTGTTAGACAACTAAAAGCACTTTTCTGTGAGTGCAAACCAATTTTGGCAATGAAATTGTTTAAATTCGCTAAAATAATGCAGTTCTGTTTTTCTTAAAAGGAAGTACTCTTCTGTAAGTAAAAATAGTTGTTCAAAAAAATTATTTCAAAAGTTTTGAATAAAACTGAACTCATATTAGCCTTAAATATCTTTAATTATAGACTTTATAAATAATGGCACTACAAACAGAATAAAATTAATATTAACAATTAAAAAAAAAAAATATAATTAAGAAATGTAGAATGTAGAATAACAGCTGATTTATGATTTCGTTCTAATATAAACACAGCAAGTAAATTTGTTAATAAAACTTTCGCAACAAATTAACAAAACTCCAGAAAAATGTGCGAACATAAAAGTCAAGTACGGTTTTGGGTCAGTTGGTTAAGGTGCGCTGACTCTGAGCTTCAGATTTGGCAGGACACGAGTTCGATTGCTGGTACTTGCAATCGAACTCAAAAAATAATATAAAATTAATTTTTGTTGTTGTAGTTCACTACTGTTCGAAAAACTTCTATAAACTTTATATAAATTTTAGTCATGATTTTCTTTTTTAAATATTACATATTTTTCATGAATTTAAATTTATATAATGGCAGTTGCAAAATGATTAAAATACTCTAAAGATTTGAATATATTTATACAACTACAATAGTTTTACAGTATATTTTTCTTTTTTCAACATTAATTCCACATTCATCATATACATGTTAAACTGAAATTACGAAATTACGAAATTACTTCACTAACCATTCCAAAGGCAAGAGAATATTGCTCATACGCACTGCCATTACAATTTTAATTAAATGTCAAAATGACACGAATTCAATTGTTTCCGTCATTTCTGACAAATACAATAAGCCATTTAACAACTCCCGTGAGAGTCATAGGTCCAGTATCATGCCAAGACAATTGTTACGTCACTAAAACCGTATAAATAGTAGTAAAAAAAAATTAACTACTAAAAATGTTAAAAGAAGAATCATGAAAAAAACTCACACACCCATACACCCATACAACACATTTTTACACGCATGCAAAATTAGCAGGATAGCAAAGCACAGAAACACCGTCAGCGCAACTAAAACACTTCACTAAGATGCTCTACGCAAAAAAAAGACTGAGAATAGCAACAAATTAACAATGTTTTAATAAAAAAACATGTACTTAGAGAAGAATAAAAATAAACACATAAAATATGAACAAAGTAAAAGCATAAAATATACAATAAAAAATGGACTTACTATGCTATATACACACACACATGCATAGCTCTGTTTTTTATTTACAATTGAATGAATTACATGGGACATATGCAAGAAAGCGTAAACAACTTCTTCTATATCGCCGCAGTGTAAAATGGTGGCAAGGACAGAGGAAACAAATGTCCACATAAAGCAAAGAGTACTCAGAGGCACAATTGTGGTTTTACAGCCAACTACGCTTTCAAAAAAATGCAAGAAGAGGTAGTACTACCATAAGCCGAGTCAGTGACATGTAACTACAAATTTGTATATGGAAATAAATGGCAGAAGAGAAAAGAAAAGACGAAAATTTAAATTAAGAGTAAATATTTTAATGTATTTTCTCTTCATACATATTATGTGTATGAATTTTAATTGTGTCAAGTGAAAGAGTGATTGCAAGAAAAACAATTTTAATGAAAAACGTCAAAAAATACAAAGTCTCTGAATTTCAAAACATATTTTTTTTTAAAAAACATTAAATTCCTGATGTGATTAAAATTGTTTTATAATATTGGATAGATGTTTTTTATCAAAAAACAACATACAATTTTGACTAAATTAAGAATCACTTCAAAGTCGACAAAAGGTGTATAAATAATATATATTAATAATGTATAAATATATAGTCATATAATATTTATAATATTTAATATATATCATGTATATTCACTGAAATGAAAATGTTTGCATATTTTAATTTTTTTCATTATTTTTATTTTTGTAACGGGATACTTAATCAATTCTTTAAATAAATTCACAAATTTCTTAATTATTTTAAAATGTTTATTTTCTAGTCTATATTCTATAGCCATCTTCAAACTAATTTTTTACAGTAGTTTTGTAAAAAAAGATAATTATTGAAGCAATTGTAATTTTACAAAATCAATTTAAGATTTTTGTTAAATGGGAATTTATTATTATAAATATTAATAATATTTTGATAACTATTTTGCTAATAGAAATTTAAAAAAAACAAGGTAGGAAAACTAGTGCTTATGTACATTCTATGAAACAGAACGCAATTGGTCTTATGTTGAGTATTAAACATACTTTATAAAAAAATATTGGGTTGTCCCAAACTGACATGTGCCCAAACCAATGTCATTGTAATTTTAATGCTTTCTGTCATTTTATGTTAACATGTGCTCGTCTCTTTTTTAAAGCAGAACAAAAAAAACCAACCTCAGAAATACATATTTATACTCATTATGGTGAATAACTTTGAGCCTGCGTGCTCATTTGTTCCACTTTTTAACGTTGCCCACAACTTCACAGCCTCACAGCTTCACAGCTACACAAAAGTTGTTGTACCATTTATGCGCTCACTTAGCGGTGCTTTTACTTTGTACAATGTTTTTCTTCTTATTTTGTTGTTGGTGTTGAATTTATTTTTATAAATATGCAAAAGTGTTTGTGCGTGGCATTTATTAAGTCAAGTTTCGAAATGTGTGGCAATTCGTGTTAGTCCCTGATTTAAATGGCATTTTACTGATAAATACAAAATGGTGGGGGTAGACTTCGTAGCCGTAGTTGTAACAACGCGACAGAGGTTATCAATGAAGGAAAGCCTGAATCGTCGCTTTGTATGCGTGTAAATTTTACTTACGTGTGTTGCCTCAATTTGTTTAGTTCAACATTTTGTTTCTTAACGGAATATTATCGGTTTTGCTGTTGTTGCTGGTAGGTACTCTGGCAATGACAGTGGCATTTGAAAATCGCTGCGACGTGTTATGAGTTGTTTCCGTTCTCATCCCACCGTTTCCTTAAACTCAAGCGCACATCAGAGGCACATAAGTTTACAATTGCTTTTTAACAATATTTTCATCGATTGTGTTCGAAATTTTTGTTTGTGTTTTATCATTTATTGCCAACATTTTATGTTGCCAGCATTTATGTTGCTCAGGGTGTGTGTTTACTTGTGTGTGTGCTTCTACTGAAGTTGCTATTGTCTCTTTGACATTGTTGATAGTTGATAGTTCGCTTTGTTTTTAATATAATAAAAATTGGTAAATAGTGAACTTCAGACAATTTTGAATGAACGTACGTGTATTATTGTTGTTATTGTTGTAAGTGTTGGTGTTGTACCCCCCGAGTTTTGCTTGAGATTTTTGATGACATTTATGATTGTTATTTTATGGAATTTGTCATTTTATTTTTAATTTTATATGTTGCCACCTTGATCATTTTTTAAATAATTGAAGTTGGAAAAATAATATTTTTTTTTTATTAAGAAGTCAAACAAACTATCATACAAAGGTTTTAAGTTAATATAGAGAATTTCTGCAGAGAAACTGTTTTTTTTCTCTTGCTGTAATTTGGCACTTTGGCTGTTGTTCATTTTAATATACATATGAATTTGAACTAATGGTGCTTTCGTAAATCTGGGGTAATTTTTTTAATCGAGATGCTCTTCTAATGCATTATGCAATTATGCATTATAGAATCTCGAGCAAATTGTATAATACTCGAGATTAATTTATACTACTCTAGATATTTTTCCAGAGTAGCAAGATTGCCCTGAAAACAACAACTTTATTTATATATATGATTCACATATAAACTGTGATTTAATTCGATATATCTACAAACAAAATCACAAAAATGTTAGATTACTTTAAAAATGTTCGATTGGGCAACAAAATTTGTCAGATCGAGAGTAAATCTAAATTGAATCCAGATACATCAATCGACAATGCCATTAGTACAGCATTAACTGCATGCGTAAGAGAAAATATTAGTAATTGTAGTTTTTTAAAACATAAAAATATCCGAAAAAGGAGCTTCAGTTTGTGAAGAGACAATTGCAACAACTGTTTTACTGACTTCAGTAATTGAATTTGAAAATTTTTCAAATTAATATCGCATATGGTCTATTATCAGTCGCTAATAGAAACTATAATGTCTGGCTCTACAGTGAGTAATCAAGTCTAATTAAATTAGGTGACTCCGGTCGTACCTATTATTCACTAAATAATAAACTATTAAAATGTACATCTAGTTATATCCTTAACTACATGTTAAGGTTATGCATAAGACATTAAAATCTGATGTCAATGACACACGGAAAAAAGACTTAGATAGAAATTTGTAATATATGGACCACAAAAGAAGTTTTTTAATTCCCCCTATAATCTTTAATGAATATCTTTTGTATTTATTATTATGTTACTGATCAAGATGCAATGATTTATTTATTCGGTTTGCTTTTTTAATGCTGTTATGTTTGTCAATTTAAACTAATACCCAGTCATTGAACCCCATTAAGCACATTTTCGTATAGATGTTGTATGAAAGATGACACATATTGATGCATATTATTCGATTTAAATGCGATAATCTATACATATTGTTCACATATTAATCATTATCCTGATCATGAAACAGTTTTGTTTCATTTGAATTAAATTTTAGTTTTACTTACATTCAAACATTTTGTATGCAAATTTAAATAATCTCTATTAATTTGTATTTTATCATTTACAGATATATAAGCTTCTACAATTAACTTCATTAAAACATCAAATAAAATGGCGAAAATGTAGCAAACATGGCACATGTCCTGCGACCAAGCAAAAACGTAAGTACATACGAGTAAATATAGAATCCTTTCAAGTCATTCATGGCAAGGATAAAGCCATGTCGAGCAGCTCAGCCAATTTGACTTCAACTAATAAATTTTGTATTGCCAATACACTCAATTGAATTTGTGCAATTTGTAAGTTGTTGTTGGCAGAATTGAAATGTGTCCTTAGAGTATATTTTCAGCTCCCATTATTGATACACACTTTGGCTCGATAAATTCAGTTTCAAGATTTTGTAGCCAAAAATCTTGTGCATTTCCATTTGTTTTCTGCAGACTTCGACATCAATTCAATGCAATGCGAGTGAATTGACTTTCTTTCAATGCCTGTCACTCGCAACAATTGTCGCATAAAGACAACTATCATTGCCTCTGAACGGAACAACGGAACAATGTCTCTCTGTTATTACTGTGAGTTCTTCTGACTCCTCTATGATAACAAAATAAACTAATCAAGAAAATCGCAAAAAATAATGAAAAAGGAAGAAATACAAATATTGCTGAAATTCCAATATTCATGCACTCTGAACAGCAACATTGTTGGCATTGTCAGTGGCACGAGCAGGAACAACAACAATTGTTGCGACAACAATAGCAACTACAAATGCTACAAATGCAACACAATAGTGTCAACAACAAATATTCATTTTGTCAGATTTGCAATCATATTACACTCCAGGCATTTGCATTGTAACTACCGAGTGACATCAACTCGACAGCCAAGAAGCTCATGTTTTTTTCTCTTGCTAGGCTGGTGGGTTTCTGGTACTGGTACTGGTTCTGGCTCTGGCTCTGGTTATAGTGCTGCTGGTAGTGTCCATCGCGAATGCTTTATGAGATGTGCTTTAATAATTTTATTGCTATTATGATATGATGATTTTGCCTCCTTCAATCTGAATAGCAAACTCTTTACTGCAAATGCTTAACTACACAAAACATTAACTGCGAACAGCGTCTTTTGTCTTTACGAATCCGGTTCATAGAAACAATTAAATTGCAACTTAATGGTTGAGCATTGCATTTCAAGAAAGAATTATTGAAGTCCTTGTTTATTTATTTTCAGTTATCTTTTCTGATTCTTACAGTTGCAAAAGTTTTTATTGAAAAAATTATTGTTGAAAGAAAAAATATTAATTTTCTGTTCTACTTGAAATTTCCGCTTTCCAGCACAACATCCTCATTTGAAACGAGGTCATTTCTACTTAATAAGAAATATTTTTTTGTATTTTCACATTTAGTAGTTAGAAAACAAAGGAAATATGTAACAGATAAATCAGAATCCAGATAGAAACTTGATTGCTCTCTCTCTCTCTCTCTCTCTCTCTCTCTGTGGCACAAAACTTAAAATCCAAATTTATTATCAAACTTAAAAATATGTTGGTAAGTAAGTGAGCAAAATACTGGAATACTGAAGGAACCATAGAATAGTTTTAAAATAGATATATGTAATTAAATGTGTCGGTAAGATATAAGATATAGCGTAATTATTGTGTATAAAGTCCCAGTTATAAGGAAAAACCTTTGTTTCGTAAATTTAATTCTTCATAGAAATATTTTTAAATTAATTTTCGTCGAAGTAGCAGGCATCATACTTCAAACCCTTATAGAGTATTACGACATTTAAGAATGGATTCATTTTTCGAGCCAATAGCACTATAATATATCTCCCACTATTTCTTATGTAGTGAGCTTACTCACTATCTTATAATCAAGACATTGTATATTTTTTGACTTATATTCATGTTGCTTCTACAAACATCCTGTTACTGTAACAATTTCCTCTCCGGTTAAGACTAGGATGTTCTGTTAGATCTTTAGTGTTTACTACAAATATTTTACATTTAACTGAAAAGTTTAAATGCTCTATATACATATTATATGTATTATTATATATATATTGTCTAAATAGCCAATCTTTTCATATTTTAGGCATACCAATATTTCTTCTGCACATCAGGGATTTTATTAATCTTCATAGTAGATTACGTTAGGTTGAGAGGGCGCGTGCTGACAATTAAAAGCACTTCCTCGAAGGCTTATGTTGCCCATTGTGATGCCCTCAAATCTTCGTAGTAAGGTATTATGAAACATTGTGGCTTTACCGTATAACGTGTGGCGGCATCTATTTTCATATTATCACAATTTAGATATTATAGTAAATACTCATTTTTAAATTGATATCACACATTGGCGTATACACAAACACATAGCAAAAGACTTACCCTATATCAATCGAAATATGATTGATATCCTTAATTCAGAACAATGATAAGACATCCAATAAAAATATCTGTTTGTACCTATATAATCTGTTCATAAAAGCGTGTAAGTAACCTGCAGATGATATATAATTTATTATTACATATAAGCGGTTTTAATGTTATAAGTTCATGATTTGATTTTGTTTTGAATTAGCGTCTTCATATGAAGTTCCAAGTATTTGACGCTGTATGCCGATGCTATATCTTCTTCGGATATCTTCAGTACATGCGATTTTAAACGCTTTTCTATAATGATTTTATTTTTAGATTAGGAAGATATTTAGAAAAGCAAATGATAATTGTTAATGGTTGCCTTATTACACTTGGTAATCAGCTGATACCCTACTATCTTTCGCAATATATTGTTTGCATAAAAGTTTGAGATATATTGAAATACCAACTACACAAAATTTATAAGTGCTATGCTCTATCCCTACTTCAATCGCTTGTTCAATTGATAAATGACTTTCACCTGAAATACGGAACTTTTCATCATTTAAGAAATCACCCATACTCTTGATTAGTTGAGTTTAAATTCAATATTATTCCATTTTGATTGTGAGTCCTTTAAATTAGGTTAGCTTAAATAATGGCCCTCAGTAATGCACAGGATTAGCGTTGTTCAAACACAGACCAGAAGAATCGATTAAAAAACCACAGTAGTCAGCGTGCGAACAATGCTGAAAGGTATGACCCCTCTATTCAAGTGAAAATTAACAAAGCTGATAAGTCTACAAACTTGGCTTTGACCTTAATTTAAAAGTATGACCGGTAAGTAGATCGGTAAGAAGAGGGGATCAAAAAATGTTTATTCTTCTGCTAGCTAAAAACGGGTTTTGATAAAAATAGTAAAACATGGCTTCCTCCTCCTCTTCAGAGTCGCAACTGCGAGAATAGTAATTTTAATGTAGACTAAGTCGAATTGCACGTCCTCTTAACACACAGTGATTGGTATATTTCTTGTCAAATTTGAACCAAGTAAGTCCGTGGAAGTTCAGAAAACGCCTCTTAAATTCTAGGTAGAATTAAAAAACAAGAAAACTGAAAATTAGTGTTGCAAATTGAAAATTAAAATTTTTCAATACTTTTGGATAGAGAAGAATATATCTTAATTAAATCATGAAATATTTTACCTACTGCACTACACGGTGTCAAAAACAAACTTACCAATTTCTTTCCAAGAAATGTTTGCAATATACGTACAAATCACTATCTTAAAGCAGAATATCATATAAAACCACTCCATCATGTTCCGAATGAGTCTGAGTACGAGCGTATGGCTATTCAATATTTACTAGATATTAGTAAATTAAGTTATCCAGCAATCAAGAGGAAGCAATCTGAAGATGGCCACTTAAAGTATTAATATTAAATACTTGATTACTTGCTTTTATCATTAAAACATTAACATCCTTAGTCGCATTAAAGGACATTATATCTTTTAGAAAATGTAAGCAGTTTTGGACAAAGTTTTTGAAAAGTTATGAAATTTTGAAACGACCAGCACAGCAAGGCTTGTGGTTCCAACAACTGCAACAAAATTTGCCATTGGGTGTTGCAAGCAAAACTTTATTTCTTACTAAAAATGCATGAGGTGAAAAGTTTACACATGCAAATGAAATAAAACGAAAAACACACAAGTAGCATGCAAAGTGCATCCTTTCACATCCATCCTGTAACCGAGCGAAGAAATGGATGCATGTAACCGAGATCGAGCAAACCTGCTTACTTGTGCTAAACTTCAATTGGGATTAGTACAACAGTTATTTTTGTGTCTTGGTCGTATATTTCGGTAAGCTGTTGGCAGTTTGCAGGAGGAAAATGTAGACACTTTGGCAGTGAAGCACACAATCCCATAGTAATGCATTTGGAGGCATAAAAGACAATTTACGTCTCCATAGAGCAAAAAATTTGACCTTATTTATTACTGCAAGCATAGAGTTTGTGGCTTACACATATGTTTACATATGGGAACATTGTTATGGCAATCTAACATAGGATGTTGTCTTTTACGTGATCACGAAGAGATGTGAGAAAAGTGGAATGGGAAATTCGTTTTCAATGTAATGCACCTACCGGATACCTTTGTTGCATCAATGTGCATTGGAGCATCTTAAAGATAAATGCCTGCACAGGTTATGTAGTCTCATAAATTTTGCTGCGGTTAAGCACCAGCACTCGACAGCAATTCGAGACCTTTAAACATTTATGACTGTAATATATTCATCTGTGTGTAGCCTGCATTGTCTCGCAGCCATGACAATGCCCCACATCAGCTGCACAGTTGAGACTTAGCTGCAGCAATTAATCTGCATTAGCGCATATCCAACATTTATTAGCAAAGGATATAACGTACGCCTTTTAAGCATTTAATCAATAAAACCTTTGAAGGCAATAATGTGCCTTTAATTTATTGTCCTTATTGTTTTATGTCCTTGCAGGCATGGCAATCATGGCAGTCATGGCAGCTAATGGCAGCCAATGGCTGTTTTGCATGGTAATGTAAAACTCATTTTAGGTACATTAAGCAATAAGTACGAGAATGCATAAGAATGAAATTTAAATGGGTTTTGGTAGAATTGAATTATGTTTAAATGAATGACAATACCTCGCACTATGGAAATGCGGTGTTGATAGCTGAAAATGCATTTATAATATTTCGGTGTTTGAGCATTGAGACGCATACGCCTGCATATAATCCGTTGTTGTTGTATTGTCAGTATTATAAATAAACAA